AATGGTTAAATTGTTCATTTTTTCACCTTTTTTTTTTTTTTTAAAATTTATTATTCTGTAGATTCAACATAGAGGAGGTATTCATTGTTACACCCCCAGATACTGATGTGTATGCAATTCCAACAGTTCTAGCACCAATGCCTCGAAAGATTGTTCGGAATTAGAGCGGTACTAATTCCGCCAGGATCAGTGGAACGCAACATAATTTAAACTGAGAAGAAATAAAAGTAGCAAAAATAATAAGTGCAAGTGACACAAGAATTTACGTGGTTCGGCAATCGTCTCTATATTTTATTTGCCTACGCAAAGGCAATCTTTCAATTTTCTCTCGTTAAAATTCTGTACAAACTAAAGCCTAACTACTTCTCACTTTTGTGATTTGCTCACTATTTCTCGTGTTTTCACTCAACACGTTTTGCACACACCTTTCTATCTCCTTTAGCTTTAGTCTCCAATTTATAGAGAAAATCTCACCACCATTATTAATTGCAATTCCATCATTTTTCAACAAGGCTGCCATTCATTAAATGCATGGCACAAAATCTTCAAGAAGTTGCTGCATGGCTGCAAAACATTTTCATACACATTGTCTTTTTCAACATTTGTTGCCACCTTGTGAAAAAATGTGTCTGACACCATGAGAATTTGTGAAGCCTAAAACTTAGGCTCCATAATTTCAACAAAGATATGCCCCACCCCAATATAATCTATGATATAAAGATCGACTTCTTTAAATACACGTCTTGTTTCTTATCAATTTGTTGAAGTTCTGTTTTGATTGTGCTTAACATTCTCACACACCTGCATTGTTGACTTGTATTCGTATTTGTTATTCTTTATGTCTCCTTTGGTATTGTAGTATATTCGTTGTGCACAAAGTGATTATGGATTTTACAGTGTGACAGAACCGCCCATTGATGCACCTAGAGATCCGATGTAAAAATCTGAGAGAGAAGTCATAAAGGTCTAAAACTCGATAGTCGATAGCATTCTTTCGTTTCATCCCGTGCAAATATATTTTAAGAATTTGTGTCTAGTTATCAGTTCTGGGTTCACAAATATTACCATTTTGAGGAAAGGGAATCTAGTTGCAGTCACAAATTTTAAATCACAAATGTTCCTCACGAATGTTTGGTTAACTTGTAGTGATTTATTGATGTGGGTATCTGGGTGCTTCTGTTCAGTCAATGTGAATATTGCTTCTCAATTTGTTATTGCAGGTTTTCCTGACAAAGCACTACAGGAATCGCAGGCTGGGTGACCCAGAATTTGCTCTGGATTTTGAGGAGATCTATGTAATTGATTCGAAAACAAAATCAATAAGCAGCGCAAAAATTGTGGTGAACAAAATTTAAATGAACTGTAGTTCTTTTCTTCATTTCTGAAAATTTGAAATCATCAAACTATGTGTATTTCTTTAAATTTAAAAAAGTTGCAGTTGCTTCTTCCCCGTCCTCATTGGCCTCCTTCCCTTGTCCATATATTATCCCTTTCAGATGCTAAATTTTATATATCCATAAATTTGAAATCAACAAAATGCGTATTAGGTATT